TTTGGGAAAGGAACGGAAGGGCGCTGCAAGTGCATGCTCGCATATTATGGGATATACGGCTCGGAGATCGTGTTACAACTGCTGGTATTCCTGGGTAGAAAAACGGCTTTTAAGAGCCTGGGCGAGGAAGCTTTCCTGCCGGTTGCAAGGCGCGGCGGCGGCGCCTTGCCGGCTCCCTTCGTCTGCCAGCCCTGCGCGCTCTCTCTCGCCCGCTCGGGTCTCCCCGGCCCACCAGCAAAGCACCGTGGCCGCCGCGGCCGGGGAAGAGGCGGCCTAGAAGAGCTCCGGGAAGGAGCGGGCGCTGAATTCGAAGGCGGCCAGAAACGCTTGGCGGGCTCGCTTCAGGCACCACAAAAAAAGGACACCCGTGTTGGGTTTCCTGCAGGAGGCTAGCAGGGCGCCCCCGCAGCCCAAGGCCACCGGGGCTCCTCTCCGGGCGGCGGGCCCCCCCTTCTTCCTTTCCCACCCGACGGCGGGACGCCCACGTGGCCCCACGAACCTTGAAAAGGCAGCAGGCTCTGAACAACGATGCCAGGCGGCATCCAAACCAGCTTCCCCCGGGTTTTTTTTTAAAAGCTTCCTCCCAGAACTCTCCACCCCCTCGTTTATTTTACCTGCATGATCAGGTGTGACGCCCCATACTTTTTGTACTCCTTGCGTGACTGGCCCGTATTCTAGCGTTCAGCGATGTATGGATTTTATGATTTCTTGGTTTTTATTCATTCATTCATGCTTCTTTCTTGGTCACCCTACTGATTCAAGAAATGCTTTGCTTCCCACAATAAATCCACATTTTCAAGCACTCTTCGTTATTCTTGCCTGTTTTAGAATCCACAGTTTATATGAGAACTTACAATACAAAGCAACAATTTACATTTGCAAAGTCAACGGTTCTGTTGCATATTACAGTCCTCATCTCAAGGAAGCTACTCTTAATTTTACTGATGTGGTTATTACGTCACTATTAATTCAGCCAAATTTGAATTTTATGGCAACAGGACCCATATCTTTATTTTAGATATTTAACTTCATTTCTTGAGTTGCTTGCTTTTTACTGATTATCACAGACTTGGATTTTTTAACATTCATGTTTACAAAACATTCACAATTTATTTGATGTTATTCTCAAAAAAAAATTTAAAAAAGTTATTATGTATTTTTAAAAAGCACCTGTTAGTAAAACAGTGCTGATAATACAAAATCTTAGCAAAATTGTATTTAATCCTGAAGCAATACATACAAAGAATGATTCCATTAGTCACGTTTAGTAATGAAAGCAAGATGAAAAGGTAATCCGCTCCAACTCAAAGCATAAAAACGAAGATTGGGAAAGGGTAAAACCAAGAAAGAATGGTTTAAACAGTTAGTCCAGTTCTACAGTACTAATTTAGGCGACTTGTGAGCCAAGTGTTATATGTAGCAATAAACATTGGCCACCTGAACTGTTCTGTGCCCAAATAGGGACACCCAGATTGATGCCTGCCCTTCCTTTTGCTCTTTTGAAACCTCTCCAACCCAATACTTGTCAGGGCCCACCCATGCCAGTATTTGTGCACTTTCAACTCTCTAGAACTCCAAATGCTTTAATCAATGATTTTACAGCAGTAAAGTCATGGAAAATTCATTTCTAAGACAATGAGCATACTCTTCACTTATGCTGTAAACTCAGCATCCTCCTGAGTTTTTCCTTCTCTATCCCCACTTCTAGAGGGACATGGTGGCGCTGCGGGCTAAACCGCAGAAGCCTGTGCTACAGGGTCAGCAGACCAAGCAGTTGTAAGATCGAATCCACGCAGCAGAGTGAGCTCCCGTCGCTTGTCCCAGCTCCCGCCAACCTAGCAGTTCGAAAGCATGCAAATGCAAGTAGATAAATAGGGACCACTTTGGCGGGAAGGTAACAGCGTTCCGTGTCTAAGTCGCACTGGCCATGTCACCACGGAAGATTGTCTTCGGACAAACGCTGGCTCTATGGCTTGGAAACGGGGATGAGCACCGCCCCCTAGAGTCGAACACGATTGGGCAAAAATAGTCAAGGGGAACCTTTACCTTTACCTTTTTATCCCCACTTCTAATCACAATGCATGAATGCTGTGTTTAACATGGGATCTGTGAATGTGCCACTCTGTTCCACTAATTCTTCCTGGCTTTTTGCCTCATTCTGGAAATACACAAATACCACTGACTTCATTCACTTTTGCACACTCACCTGAAAACAATGCACAGCCGGACTTACTTTTAGAGGGAGAAATACACACAAGAGAGCCTTGTGAGAAATCATTATATTAAAGTATTATACTAAGTTGTGTAGTGCCTTAAAGATCAACATGTTTCTAACTGCATGACCCCACCATTCCTTCTCATACTGCAGCTGTTGGGAAAATTTTTGGAAAACGGGAATGAGAAAACATGTTATTTCTTTCCTTTACCCAGAAACCTATGTTGAATAGCAAGCAGAAGTATTAAACTCCTGGTCTAGTCAACCTGTGTTTACTATTTGGAGGAGCTAAATTCTGGAACACTATTTTTCCTCTGTTATGTGAAACAGCCGAACCCTAAGATTTCCAGAAAAACTATTACTGTTCTCACTTTTGAAGACCTTTTGTACACTTTCTCTCACTGGCTCTGCCTGTTTGTTTACATGATGGACCATGCCACATAGCTTCAGTATGTCACAGGCTTGTTGTTTATGTTGTTTTCCAGAAGCAGCTTAAGAAAGTATTCTAAGTATTGCTCCAATCAACAATCAGTCACCATCCCTCCCATCTTTATATGTATCTTGAAATAGCCCAGGTCTGTTATCATTACATTTAGAACAAACAAAAGCAATCAAGCATAGGGTTAAGCTGATACTGATTACTGTTCTGCAACTTTCCCCCCAAATCATAACCATAAATGGAGCTTATGGGCTAGTTTGAGAACTGTTAATTTATATGATTTAAAATGGTTATGTTTGTATCATCTGTGCTATATTTTATCCATTTTTAAATGGTAAATGTTTGTCCATTTAAAATGAAGCCCCCAAATGATGTTTACTACTAGTTAACCTAAGTAGCAACTGGTATGTTTAAATGGTGCCACATATTTTTGTTCTAGCTTTGATGGGAAGGCATTTTTCCTAAAGAAATATAATGTATAGGCAAATCATTTCAACATGCTACATATACAACGAACATTTATTAAAATATTGTATTTGATATTGTAGAAACAGATTTTGAACTCTAAACTTAGCCAGCTGAAATTGCAAGTATCGCACCAAAAACAAACATCCACATTGCCCATCAGATCATTACACTAACACGTAAGGGGCTCATTTTCAAACTTTCTTCCACATTCTTGAAAGCAAGCCTTTACTCGCACCTCAAAAACAACAAAAATTACTGCCTCCCAATAGACATTCCCAAATGTCCTAGTCCCAGTTGAGGCTGTGTATACTCAATTTAAGTGCACATGTCTAGCCCCTGTAGACCCCACATGTAGGTTTAAAAGTGATAATAAGGCAGAGTTGTGTTTTGGCTCTTTCCTTAATTGAAGTGTATGCAGAGGGAACTAGGACGAGACAATGGTAGACTACGCTTCCAGGGCAGACTGCTCATTTTCTGCTGGATGTTTGGCAGGGAACAGAAGAAAGGCAGCCAATAAACCAGATCTTGTTGATCTTGTTGACAGAGTGGACATTTTTACAAAAATACATGGGTAGAAGCGGAGGAAGCAGTTCTTATGGATGGCTGATCTACAGTGGACCCTCTACTTAAGGAATTAATCCGTATTGGAATGGTGGCTGCAAGTCGAAAAGTCTGTAGGTCGAATCTCCATTGACCTACAATGCATTGAAAACCGATTAATCCCATAACCAGCGGTTTTTATTCTATTTTTGTTCCATTTTGGGTTTTTTCTGATCTGTTAAGTCGATTCTCCGGCTGCAAGTCGAATCTAAATTTTGCAGCCAGAGGAGTCTGTAACTCGAAAAGTCTGTAAGTCGAGCCGTCTGTAAGTCGAGGGTCCACTGTATGTGGATCATGATTAGGTCAAACCTCCCATCAGTACAAAAAGTCAGCTTATTAACATATTTGGTATGTTCAACAGTACAGTATATAATCAATATATTGATGTGGATTTGCTTTTATTTTTCTAGCTGATAGTGCTATTCATTCTCTGGAGGAGGGAAGATGTGTGCAAGATGTTAAGTGCCATAGTTACTAACTGTATTATCGTCACAACATGAATGAACAAAAGTTGATATCACGGCTCATTTTGTGCTGCTTGCCCAGGGATGAAAAATTGCTAGTAATATCTCTGGAGGTAGCCCTCCAGATGTTTTTGGTCTTCAACTCCCATCATCCTTAAGCAGCATAGCCAATGTACCAGACTGGTAGTTACAGTCAAACAACATCTGGATGGTCATATGTTGCTCATCCCTGCACTTAGAATAAAGAAATCTGTGACATAGTTCATAACTGGTAAATGGAATAAGTAGAGGATAAGTGGGGAAGAATTCCTTTTCAGTCCATAAAAACAATCAGGCCAAAATTTATCAAGAACAGTAATATTTTTCAACAGTTTAGAGCAGTGGTTTGCAACATTGGGCCCCAGATGTTCTTAGACAAAAACTCTTAAAAACCTTCACCACTAGCTGTGCCAGCCAGAATTTCATCCTTAAGCAGCATAGCCAATGTACCAGACTGGTAGTTACAGTCAAACAACATCTGGATGGTCATATGTTGCTCATCCCTGCACTTAGAATAAAGAAATCTGTGACATAGTTCATAACTGGTAAATGGAATAAGTAGAGGATAAGTGGGGAAGAATTCCTTTTCAGTCCATAAAAACAATCAGGCCAAAATTTATCAAGAACAGTAATATTTTTCAACAGTTTAGAGCAGTGGTTTGCAACATTGGG